CAGTGATGAGAGAAGGTTGGAGAGGGTGAGAGCAGCAGCAAGTCCAGAGCAAGTCCAGGTGCTTGTTGCTGCGTGCACCTCTGCTCCACGCTGAGTAATTCCTGATTCCAGCCCCATCCCCAGGCACTCAGGGGAGCACAAGAGGGAGCTGGGCAACTCTTCCACCCCACTGCTCGGGGGAAGGAAGAGGTGAGCTGAGGACAAAGCCAGGAACTGAGGCAAGGCAGAGTTTTCCCTGCAGCAGATTGTTCTGAAGCCGATGCATCCGTTCCTGAGGTGCCTTTGGGATGGCACAGGTGGTGTGGGAAAGTGCTGGGCATCTCCCACCTGCAGTGGAAGGAATTCTGGCCTCAGTAACTCCCTGTAGCTCTTCAAGGGCTTTCTCAAATGCCTGGTTTAGGATGAGATGAAAGCTGAGGGTGTGGAAGTGCTCTGACTGCTCCAAATGGCCTTTTGATTGCCCAGCCATGCTTCCTCAGCCTAGAGGAGGAAAAAACTTCCAGGCTAGCAGAGAGGAGATGAAGCATTGTCCTCTCCCATGGCCTCCTTGCACTGCTGGACCTTGCCATGGCTGCTTTGTCTGCACACAGGGAGTGTGGAATAACAGGGCATCCGAATTCCTCAGGTTATTCATGTTGGGACTGTGTGACACATGCAAGAAATGAAGTAATGCAGAGGGTTTTTTCATTCTAATCTGTGTCCATAATGTGGGATGGCTGTGTTCCCCTGCCCACGAGCAGGGACTATTGGGTCCTCTCCATCCAGTCTTTTTACTCCTTGAAATTGCTGAATTATCTTCAACAAACTGGTACTGGAAAGATAAAGTCACTAAATCCCACACATGCTCATCGTGGTGGATTTTAATTAACCTTTTCCCTGCAGCCCTGCTCTGTAATCCAGGCTAATTGCTGCAGGGATTAGAGCCTGGCACTGCTGCTCAGCCAGACAGAGCAAACCTCCAGTGTTCTCCTGCCTGTGCTTCCAGCTGGGCTCCATCGCCTCCTCCTCAGCCCTGCAAGGAGATAAACTGCCTCCCTACCAAATATTTAATGCTTTGCAGAGCTGCTGTTGCCACTTTCTTCTCCCTGATGTGTAGCTCTTGTTGGAGATAAATCAGTATTCCTTCTGGAAGGATCCGTGTGTGTTCAGGGAGTACAGCCAGCCTAAGCCATCTCCTCACTCTGTGCCCCCTTTTTTTTTTGGTTTTGTGTTCACCTTCCCTATTTTTGATTGCTGTATTCCCTGTGTTAGTTCATGTGGGTGTCTAACCAAACCTTTTTTTTGGGTTTGTGTTCATCCTCCTTATGTTTGACTGCTGTATTTGCTGTGTTAGTCCATGTAGGTGTCTAACCAAACCTTTTTTTTGGGTTTGTGTTCATCCTCCTTATGTTTGACTGCTGTATTTGCTGTGTTAGTCCATGTAGGTGTCTAACCAAACCTTTTTTTTGGGTTTGTGTTCATCCTCCATATGTTTGATTGCTGTATTCGCTGTGTTAGTCCATGTAGGTGTCAAACCTTTTTTATGGGTTTATGTTCACCTTCCTAGTTTTTCATTGCTGTATTCCCTTAGTCCTTGATGTAGGTGTCTAACCAAACCTTTTTTATGGGGCTGTGTTCACCTTCCCTGCTTCTCATTGCCTTATTCGCTGTGTTAGCCCATGTAGGTGTCTAACCAAACCTTTTTTATGGGGCTGTGTTCACCTTCCCTGCTTCTCATTGCCTTATTCGCTGTGTTAGCCCATGTAGGTGTCTAACCAAACCTTTTTTATGGGTTTATGTTCCCCTTCCTAGTTTTTCATTGCTGTATTCCCTGTCTTAGTCCATGATGTAGGTGTCTAACCAAACCTTTTTTATGGGTCTGTGTTCACCTTCCCTGCTTCTCATTGCCATATTCGCTGTGTTAGTCCATGTAGGTGTCAAACCTTTTTTATGGGTTTATGTTCACCTTCCCTGTGTCTGATAGCTGTGTTCCCTGTGTTAGTCCCTGTAGGTGTCTGAGGTTTCAGGAGTTGTTTCTGCTCAGGGAGGAGGCTGGGATGAGCCTTCCTTGCAGAACTCCAGTTTCTTTACACAGCAGGGACCAATATTTCTGCTATCTCATTGATCCAAGCCCCATCCCCAGCCCTTGCTGCCTTGGGCTCCTCCTCAGTTGGCTTTGCCTGGTACCCACTGCCCCGTGCATGCAGAGCAGGGCTTGGCAAACCCTGTCCTGGCACGGCTCTGGCTTGCTCAGAGTCAGCTGAAGAGAAGCCTGTGTGCTTCTCATTTGCTCTCCTTTGGTATTGTTAATTCCAACCAGATTTTGTCAGCTCTCCAGTAGGAAAAGAACCCCGGCGTGCCACGAAGCGCTGCTCGCGGTGTCACGTAGGGCTGGGGGTGCTGCTGCCAGCACCTGCACCAGGGCCAACCTGGCCTTCCCAGAGCTGCTCCTGCTGCTTCCCAGTCTGTTGTATTTGCAGGGAGGAATGATGAATCTGAATCCATGTTCTCAGAAGGCTAATTTATTAATTTATTACACTATATTGTATTAAAGAATACTGTACTATACTAAAGAATACAGAAAGGATACTTACTAAATGCTAAAAATATAATAATGAAACTCGTGACTCTCTCCAGAGTCCTGACACAGCTTGGCCCTGACTGGCCAAAGAGTGAAAACAACTCACAGCAGAATGCAGTGAAACAATCACCTGTGGGTGAACAATCTCCAAACACATTCCACATGAGAACAACACAGGAGAAGCAAATGAGACAAGAATTATTTTCCTTTTCTCTGAGGCTTCTCAGTTTCCCAGGAAAAAAATCCTGGGCAAAGGGATTTTTTTCAGAGAATGAATGCCACACCAGTTCATATTCCCATCTGACTCACTGGCTCAAGCCTCGGGCACTCCTGGAGGTGCTGCTGCTGCTGCCAGGACTGGCTGGTGGATCTGCCCCCTCTCTGCCCCTGGGGACAGTGTTGTTTTGGTCACACCATGGTGCAGGGTGTCCCAAAATCTCCGTGGTGCTGCAGAGGAGATCAGGGAGGCTCCAAGAGGGACTCTGGGTGGCAGGGAAGGTGATGGGTGATTTTATGGCTGCTCTCCCAGGAGGGGGTTGGGATGGGGACAGCCCTCTGCAATCACAGAGATTTAGAGGGTGAAAAGTACAAAGGGGGAAGAGGAGCCACGGAGAGAGATGTAAAATTACTGAGTATGAGTAATGGGGTGAAAGTAAGAAGTTTACTCAACACATCACTAAGTTTCTTGGACAGTGAATTCTCAACAGTTTCAGATTAGAGTTGAAGGGAAGCAGTGGAATAGTCATTTAAATGCAGACCAAAAAACTTTATTATGCTGCATAAAACCTTCCCAAACCCCAGTTTTCCTGTTCCTGAGCTGAGGAGAGCCAGTTCTGTGTATTAATAGCTAATCCTGCCCACAGAGATGAGTAGGGAGTGCCTCAGGGGCTCTAGGGCTCTGCAGTATCCCAAGTGTGTGCAGAGCAAAATGATTTAATCAGAATTAGGTTGCTTTGACCAGCTCTCAGACTCATGCCATCACATTTTTCCCCTTGAAAAGCCACTTTGGCTTTGGCTCACTCTTCACAGAGCCTCACTCAAAGCTTATGTTTCACCTCAAAAATCTATTCATTTTCCTTTCTTTCAGTATTAAGTGTCGTGGAAAAAAAAAACCAGGAAGAACATACTAAAACCTCCTAAAAGTCTCAGTCCACTGAATAAAGCAAAAGGCTGGCACTACAGAAATGAGCATTTTGCTGGGTTGAGGGAGCCCACAGCTGCAGTGGGAGCTCTGCAGGAGGAGCCCAGCATGGCCAGTGCAGCAGGACACCCCAAGAAAAGGTTGGAGGTTCTCTGGGAATCACTGGGACAGAGGAGGGGTTTTTATGACCTCTGAGCTTTAGCTTTTAATGTTTTAAGCCTTGCTAAGAAAAGTGCTCTGAGAAAAGATTTTGTATTTGCAGGTAATTTATATTTTGTATGTATTTTGTATTACCACTGCAGAGCTCAGACTCAAACAGGCGTCACCTTTCCCACTCTTCCCCTTCCACCCCTGACCCAGACCTTCCCTTGCTGCTGGCTGATTTTCTTGGCAATTAGTCTGACGAATATAAAAATTGGCTCAGCCAAGGCTGTGCTGCTCCTTTTTTTTTTTTTTTTTTTTTTTTTTTTTTGGGTGCCCTTTTCCTGCCCAGTGGGAGCTGTGGGAGAAGCAGAGCTGGGCTGGGGCACTGGGCACGTTCCTGCACCTCTGGCGTGTGAGGACATGGCCGGGGACCCACCCTGCCATGATTCACTCAGGAAATGTTTCTTTATCTTTCAGTAACAGCCGTGGATGGGAACTGAGCTGGCTCAGGGCTGGCCTTGCTGGGAGGGGTTTGGGGGAGCTGGAGGTGAAGAAGTTGCTAAGAGAAACCCAAATGGAGAGACCCAAGGTGCTGAAGTTTGTCTCTCCGTGGGGAAGGGAATGGCTGGTTGGGTGCTTTGCTGCTCCTGCAGTGGGGTTTGGTTCCCCACTCTGATCCTTCCCAGTCTGAGAGGTTGTGTAGGTGCACAGCTGTGCACGCCCACAAATGGCAGGAATTAAGGAACTGTGCAGCTCTGTCCTCATCATCTCCATGTTTCTGATCATGGCACAGGGAGAAATCTGCCTCAGAAACTTCCTTTGATAAGCAAGTATAAGTGTAAAATATGACTTAATTCATTGTTCTGGAGTCAGTGGGAAAGGTGACCATTGGCAGCTGATCAGAGGAGGATGGTTTGTGCTGGCTAACAAAGCAGACTGGGTTTTTGTGGTTGTTGTTCACTGATTGCAGGTTTGTCCCTGGAATTTCACAAACAGCTTGACTGACTGAACATAACAAAATGGCCAATCTTGTTCCATTTGCTTTCATTCCTCAGATCCAGAGTCGGGCAGCAGAGGATAAATGTTCCTGAGCTCAGACCCCCTCCCGTGCACTTGCCTGAATTTTTACCCACTTTCCCCTTGTTGTTTTTGCAGATGTTGACGAATGCCAGGTGCACAACGGGGGCTGCCAGCACCGCTGTGTGAACACCCTGGGCTCCTTCTACTGCGAGTGCCAGCCCGGCTTCCGCCTGCACACGGACGGCAGGACCTGCCTCGGTAAGGCCCTTGGCAATCTCTCCTTGCAGCCCTTTTCCTACCGGTAAATCCATGGCAGTGAACAGAAAAGCTTGATTTCCTCACTCCCTCCCGTTCTCTGTGCCCTGAATGTGAGATAATGCTGATGGGTTTGGGTTCCTCTGCGTCTCTGTGTCTTCCCTCACAGTTTCTGTCCCTGGGTTCAGAATATTTGCTGTTCTTCCATGTGGTAACATAAAACTGGGGCTGCTTTGCTGTCCTTGAGTTTATTCTGATTCAGGAGAATCCCTGGGTTCGGAACATTTGCTGTTCTTCCATGTGGTCACATAAAACTGGGGCTGTTTTGCTGTCCCTGAGTTTACTCTGGTTCAGGAGAAGTAACTCTCAAGTGCTCTGGTGCTTCTGCTTTTGATTCAGGATATATCAGACATGGCATTCTCAGAACAGATAGATAAATAACAATAATGAGGAATTTCAAGTCAGGCTTCATTTTGACCTCAGTATTTCCTCAAAATTTCAGTATTTTCTCACTGGGCAGCAGGTGTGACAGACAAGTGACAGTAAATGTAGCTGTGTGTGGAACTGTGGCCATAATAATCCAAAACCTTCTTCTCTGGGATGCTGGTCATGCACTCTCTTGGATGGTGCTTGTCCAAACATCACCATCCAGGCACCAGGTTTGCCCTGCAGCTGATTTTGGGCCAATTTCTTGAAATGCTGTTGTCTGCCTGCCCCAGACTGGAGGCTCAGAGTGGAATTTGGAATCTGCCTCCAGCATCTGTGGCTGTTTTAATTAAACCACTGCTTCATTTGACACATTTTCCACTATTATTTTCATATCCCTCAAAAGTGGAAAAAATTCCCGGGCCATGGTGTTTGCAATTTTCTCAGAACACAGTCACGCTCCAGAGTCTGCCTGTGTGTTCCAGTTGGGAATGGTGATGTGAGCAGGAAAAATCCACCCAGGGAAGCTGTACCCACCATGCCCAGCTCTGCACTGACACACATCTGGCCACAGCTGCCTCCAGTACATAGTGACACCCAACCAAGTGAGATTTAAGGTGCAGGATCCCCATATTTCACTGGAAAAAATCCAGAAGGAAAAAGATGGCAAAGAAGGGACAAAGCCAAGCCTGGCAGCCAGCACTGAACTCCAACACTCGTGTTGGGGTGACAAGCTGCTGCTGCTCACATGTAAGTGTGCTGTGGTCTGTCATCTCCTAATTGTCTCTGGGATATGTTGCTCCCTTTCTTGTGGTGAGCAGCGATCCCATGCAGCCGCATTTCTCCTCACGGAGAAAAGCAAGGCACAATTCTTCCCAGGAGTATTTCTGGGTTTCACATTCTCTGAACCTCAGAGAAAGGAAAAACAATTCTTATCTCACTTGCTGTGCCCGTGTTTGTGCCAAAGTAGAGTGTAATATGGAGATTTGTTTACCCAAAGTGATGTTTTTTTGTTTCCTTGGCATATCGGGGCCAAGTGTTGGACTGTTGGCTGACAGTCACAAAAAGAGTACAGTTATGTACAGAGCTGGGTGCTTAACAGATTCAGTTTAGATGTAATGCAACATACATCTAAATATAATATAATAAATATGATATAATATAAAAATACAATATTATAAATATAATATATATAATATAATATAATATAATATAATATAATATAATATAATATAATATATATAATATAATATATGTGATACTATATGATATAATAATATAAATTAATATAATAATATAATAATATAGTTATAATATATAATAGATAATTATAATATATACTAGATAATATATTCAATATATAATATATACAATATAGTATAATATGATAACGTTATAATAATATATAATACAATATATTAATATATAATTATAACCATTTAATAGAATGATATAATATTATTATAATAGAATAATATGAATATTATTCTATTATATCATACGAATATCATATAATATAGAATAATATAGTATAATAAAGTAATTAATTAGCCTTCTGATATCCATAGAGTCCTCATCTTTCCTCTCCTTTGGGGGCAAAAAAATCAACAATAACCCCGCAGCTGCCTTGCGGAACGAAACGTGGGACAGGAGTGCTCAGCAGCCCCAGAAGGTGGAACAGTTCTCAGGGAAAGCATTAAATGCATCTCTAGATGGAGGAATCTCTTCTTTAAGAAGAATTTTCATCATTTTCTTTCGCTCTCCAGGCTTCCCTGCTGGTGTAGCTGAGCATTCCCACAGGATCCAGCCCCGCTCCTGCTGCCCGTGCCCAGCGCTGCAAACCTGCTTTGCATTAAACTTGTGAGCCAATATTAGCCATGAAGTGCAGTGCTGGAATTCATCTGCCAAAAGTGAGAGGTCTCTGTTCAGGAAATCTGATCATGAGTGAGTGGGGCAGTTCCTGGAGCTCTGGGGAGTGGAGCCTGCAGGATCTGCAGTGAGTTTGTGGTGCTGGTACCCCTGGGATCCAGAGCACCCAGGAAACCAAAGCAGACCAGGCAGGGCAAATAATAACCTCTCACTGCATAATGATCTCATAATGTTTCTAAAATGAATCTAAAATGGGGCTTTCTCATTTCAGGGCTGGTGGCTTTTTCTCTTTACACATTTGTGCCTGTCCATGTGTATATGTCACACCTTCACGGAGCTCTGTACTGACCCAGTTGTGAGGAGGGTGGAACATCTTTTCCTTAGAAAAGCTTGGAACAGAGCAAGGCACAGAGGTGCCTCCTCGCTGGTGTTTGTGGCTGTGCTGTTGTACCCACAGATACCAGGTTGCCTTGTGGTCAGTTCTGAGGGATTTGGGGTTAACTGCTCAAAGCTGTTTTTCTCCTCAAGCTGGGATGTCCTCTCATTTTCTGTAGAGATTCTGTGCTGCTAAAACACAAAATATTGTCACTAGATATAGAGAATAGGCCAGGAATTAAGGGAACTGGAGACAGTGAGCATCCATCCATCCATCCATCCATTATCCATCCATTATCCATCCATCCATCCATCCATCCATCCATCCATCCATCCATCCATCCATCCATCCATCCATCCTTGTCCTTCTGCTGAGGGAAGCTCGCAGCTCCACGCTGGGACAAGCCCAATTTTGGGTGGTAGGAAGCTCCTGACTGCCCCAGTGAGAGTGTTCTGGGTACAGAAAGAGGCCTTTGCAGTCAAATTTCTCGTTAAGGGCTGTCAAATCACAGATTTCCTTCTTTAAATGCTTTCTGGTCCCCACGAAACCCACAAAGGCTCCGATGATGGATCAGCAGCACCGAGCTGGAGCTCCACGATTCCCCCACAATGAGGCAGTGTGGCCAAGGGTTAGCTGTTACCTGGGGCTGTGACTCAGGAGGGCACAAAAATGGCTTAAAACCCCTTTCCTGTGCCCAGCTCTCAGCTGGTGCTCTGCAGCTCCCTTGTGCAGGATCCTTTTGTTGTGTCTTTGTTCCGATGGCTGCTGAGAGAGGGAGAAAAGGAGCAGCCGCTTCCACTGCGAGTGAAACAGAACAAAGAGAGGCCTTGGGCGTCCTGAAATTACCTCTTTCTTTATCAGAACCACATGGGCAGGAGGCAGGAAGCTGACATCTCCAGGTCCTTCTCCACTGTTTCAGCAGAGGGATGCAGGCCAGGCTGAGGCTGAGGGGTTTAATGGGAGCCAATTGCTTTTGTTGGCCTGAGGAGCAGGGAGATGGTCTGGATTAACACACAACATGTTTCTGGAAGTTGTCTGAGGTCTGGAGAAATCAGCTAGGGATTACATGATGGAGCCCTGTTTGTATTAGGAGAACTTCAAATGGAGAAATCTCAGTGATAGGGGTGATATAATGAACAGAAGGACCATGCCAGGAGGTTTGTGTGGGCTTGAACTGTGTGTGCAGGGACCACATGTGCTTGGTGGCGCTTTCCACTTTGCAGACAACTTGCACATTTTAGGGAATTTGATCTTTTCTTTGCCCAGTCACACATTTTTCAGCCTTTTCTTAGAATTGCTGGGGGTTTGTGTGATGCTGCAGGAGGAATATCCTGCTCAGTTCTAGTCACAGCTGCTCACAGTCACTCTTAGGGTATCAGCTCGCTGCTTCTGATGGCAAATCACTTGTGTCTGAAGGAAAGGTGAGAGGGAGGGAAGAGGAGAAGTGAGAAGAGAGATGAAAAGTCAGAAGGGCAGCTGGAGGGTGCAGAGATCAGGTATTAAATCAATTGCTGTGTTAGGCTGCTGCTGCACAAATCCACTTCCCGGGTGTAATCAGCAGCAAAAATCTCCTTTCCATCCCTCTTTATCCATTTCCCAGGCCTGAGAGGGTCAGAATCTGGGAGCAGCATCTTCCAGCAGCACTGCACTCCCCTCAGACAGCGGGGCTGGAAGGAACCTCCCTCTCTCAGACACTGAAATATCATCTGTGGAAAATCTGTCTGAGCTGTAATTACAAAAATCTGTGTGATGTACGGGATGACACTGGGCTTGGCAGCCTTGTCACAGAAATGTTAAGCTCGGCAGAGCATCTGGGAATGGAAATATTTTTAGAGTGGTTCTGTAAACAGAATAAAAACCCCGAGCAGTAATTAAAACAAGGCCAGCAGCGAGGTCTGCTGGCTGTGACTGCGAGGAGCCAGCTGAGGAGACCCAGCCTCACACGGGCTCTCTCTCCTGAAATCTTGCACCTAGGAACCCAGACTTTGGATTTTTTTTAGGAGTGTGCAAGGAGGCTGTTATTTCAACTTCAAATTAATCTGAATAACTGCATCCTGGGAGGTTATTTTAGACACAAGATGCATTGGCTTGTTCCATGTTGGCCCAGTGCTTTTCCCAGATGAAGGAATGTTTTGGCAGGCATCAGCATTGTTTGACTTGTTTTCTTTTTTTACTTTAACAAAAAGGCTCTCCAACAAGCACATTATTTATGGCTATTTTTGAATATATGTTATTAAACACTTAAATTTATTAGAATATTTTTAAATGACCACCCATCTCTGCTAGAGCTTGAGTAGTGTAACTCTGACCCAAAGCTTTTCAGGAACGTTAAGTATTTCTGTTGTTTCCTTCCAAATGGATTAAAGGAAATAATGCCAGCACAACTAACATAAACCCCAAGTTCTTGCTCCAGCCTTATGATTTGTATGGCAAAATCTTGACCCTGTCAAGCTGCTTTTATTCCCCCAAATGTTGTTTAGCTAATTAGAAGCATAAAATGAAAAGTTGAGTTATTTTAACATTTGGAATGAGAGTGATCCTCAGCTCTGAGTCAAAGCTCCAGGGGAAGGGTGTGCAGAAAAAAAACAATATATACATTTTTTTGCCTTTATTTTTGTCCTGAGCCAAATATTTGTTTTCACTAATGCATAAGAGCAAGGATCCAGCTTGCCTTGGGATTCAGAGGTGTGTTGCAAGCAGAGACTTCTGCTGGCAGCTGCTTTCCAGGCTCTCCTGCTTCCAGAGCTCTGGAGGTTGTGGAGAGCACTGTGATCACCTGAAGGATCAGTCTGGGGAGAGATGGTTTTCATTAGAGATATTTTTAGCTTTCCTGTAAGATTCCTCTGAGCCAGCACATGAGTTTATTCTGGAGTTTGAAAAATAGGTCAGAAATGTGTGAGACCAGAGCTGATGGTTCTGCTCAGCTTAAGGCAGCCAGGGCTGGGTTTCCATCCTGGGCCAGGGCCAGCTCCAGCCTTGTTCCACCAGCCCAGTCACCAGTGGGTTGTGACACTTTGGTGGCTCCTGAGAGACAGAACGGGGTTTAAAGACCAATTTCCCAATTCTCATAAGAGACAGCTCTCTTTGGAGGAGCTCAGTGCATAAGGAGTTGGGTGGGTTAACTCAGGAGACATCCAGTGCTCCAGGAGGGGACTTGTATGGATTTGGAGGCATGTCATCATCCCACAATGACTTCTGTACCAGAATCCATGAATCCAGCTCAGAAAGTCCTTCCCTGTTTAGTTTCCCAGCTCAAATTCCTCCTGGATCTGAGGTTGATGGTCCTGGAGAGCAGCAATAAAAATGAAACTTCTGACATTGCCCTGGCTGCTCACAAGGTGCTCCCATCCCAGTTAAACATCCCTCTCCTCTGCTGATCCTGCAGAGACATCCCAGTTACAGGAACAGGAGGAGGAGGGGGCTGATTAATGATGTTCCCAGCTGATTAATGGTAGCAGGCTTGTGAGGAGTCCACGTGCTGGGTCACTGGGTCTGTTTTGTGCCGTAGCCCAGGCAAAACCTTCTGTTTCCTGACTGCTTGGAATCTGCTTGTGCAAGGCCACACAGAAGAGCTGTGGCACGGCCAGGAGCTCCAGTTTTTGTCCTGAGCCAAACATTTGCTTTCAGTCATGTACAAGAGCAAGGACCCAGCTTGCCTTGGGATTCAGAGGTGTGTTGCAAGTAGAGACTTCTGCTGGCAGCTGCTTTCCAGGCCCCAATGCTTCCAGAGCTCTGGAGGTTATGGAGGGCACTGTGATCACCTGAAGGATCAGTCTGGGGAGAGATGGTCATGGGATCTGTTTTGTGCTGTAGCTCAGGCAAAACCTTCTTCAGTTTCCTGACTGCTTGGAATCTGCTTGTGCAAGGCCACACAGAAGAGCTGTGGCACGGCCAGGAACTCGAGTTTTTGTCCTCAGCCAAAGATTTGCTTTCACTCATGTACAAGAGCAAGGTCCCAGCTTGCCTTGGGATTCAGAGGCGTGTTGCTTCTGCTAGCAGCTGCTTTCCAGACCCCAATGCTTCCAGAGCTCTGAGGTTGTGGAGGGCACTGTGACCACCTGAAGGATCAGTCTGGGGAGAGATGGTCATGGGTATGTTTTATGCTGTAGCTCACGCAAAACCTTGTGCTTCCTGACTGCTTGGAATCTGCTTGTGCAAGGCCACACAGAAGAGCTGTGGCACGGCCAGGAACTCCAGTTTGGAAGCTCAATTCCCAGTCCTGCCTGCGCTGAGGATGAAATCAGAGCTGCTATGTCTCTGTGTGCTCTGTCTGGGTGACACCGCTGCTCACAGCAGCAGGGACGCCACGTGCCTCAGGTTCCACACAGAAATCTGCTCAGAGCCCTGAGCTGGGGGTTGTTACACCTGGCCCAGCTATGGACACACAGGATACATCTTAAAACATTTTCCCCTGAGTGTTCCCACAACCTGCTGGGCCTCGGTGACTTTTGCACATCCCAGAGCCAGAAACTCAGGTTTTTTTTACAGGAAAACCTGCATGTGCCTGAGCACAACTCTCTGAGCAGTAATGGCTTGAGGCAGCTGTTCCTCTGCACCTGCAGGGACTGTCCTGGCACTAAAGGATGGGAATTTCAGGAGCAGCACAGAGCCTGGCTGCTGACACGGCGCCCTTTGAGAGGGCAGATGCCTGGCAGGAAACCTGCTTCCCTCCCATGTAGTGCTGGACAGGACCTGACCCAGCTCCCTGTGTCCTGCAATCACCTTCAGGGAGACCCCTGGGGCCTCTTATGGTGGGAAAGAGCCATTTTAAGGGGAGATTTAGGCTGGTTAGGGAGAAGTTCTTCCCCAAAAGGGGGATCAGGCATTGGAATGGGAGGTGGTGGGGTCACCAGCTTTTATTCTGCCCAACACTGCTGAGCTGATCTTGCCTTGAAAGAGCAGAGTGCCCACCTGGCATGGAGCTGGGTGGCCTCTCCTGCACTGCCCACAGGCTTTTGCAGCTGCATCTCCCACTTAACACCCTCCTGGCTCATCAAGTTGGTGGTGAACTTGTCACTGAATGTCCTCCAGTCTTAAATTCACATCAGCTTTAAGGGTGGGCAGTCTGCCCTGGCCCTCTGTGAGAGGTGGCCTTCCCTCATGCAGGTGCCAAAGCTGTGTCCCTGTGTCCCCAGGTGCCACCCAAATGTCACTGTCATATTTTCTGAAAAATCCTTTGCCAGGATTTTTTCTCCTGAGAAGCTGAGAAGCCTCAGAAGAAAAGAAAAATAATAATTATCTGCTGGTGTGGAATGCAACAGGTGCACCTTTGATTGGTCCATGTGAGTTGTTTTCACTTGATGCCCAATCATGGTCCAGCTGTGTCAAGGTTCTGAGAGTCACGGGTCTTTATTATTCATTCCTTTCTAGCTTTCTGCCTGTATCATTTCTCTGTTCTTTTTAGTATAGCTTTAGTGTAGCATATATAATATAATATAATATAATTAATATAATATAATATAATATAATATAATAATAAATCAGCCTTCTGAGACATGGAGTCAAGATTCTTATATCTTCCCTTGTCCTGGGGACCCTGAAACACAACGACAACCCAAACTCCTTTTGTGCCACACCTTGTGTCCCCTTGCAGCTCTGAACTCGTGTGCCCTGAACAACGGTGGCTGCGAGCACGACTGTGTGCAGGTGACCCTGGCCCAGCACCGCTGCCAGTGCAGGCACAACCACCAGCTGCACGAGGATGGCAAACACTGCATCCGTGAGTCCTGGGGGGCTGGGGAGCCAGGGATTCCAGCTGGGAGCTGTGGGGATGGGGATGCTCAGATGTCCAGCAGATCAGACTGGGGGATTTCCAGTAAAAACTCTGTGTGTTTGGTTGTCATGGACATGTCCTGTGGTTTGTTCCAAGGGATGGGAAGAGCTGGAGGAGTTGTAGCCAACAAAAATGAAATTGTATGAAGGCACAGGCTGCTGTGGGAGGGGAGGGACAGCAGAGTGTGGCAGTGGGGTGGGATCTTCTCCCTGTCTGGCTGACCTGCTCCTGGCTCAGGAGGGAGAGAAGCTGAAGGGGACAGAACACAAGGTTGTTCTCGTTCATGGCAGCTGGCATTCAAAAGGCAGGAAGGAGGGAAGTCCTGAGCTGTGAAGTTGCTACAGCAAAAGAAACAACTGGGATGTAAAAAACCAGCAGTCAGAGAGGTTTGGAGCATCTGTCCTGGTCCTGGGGCAGGCCAGAGATTGGCAAAACTCTGGGTAGGAGTATTTGGAGCAAGCTGCCAGCACTTGCTGTGTAATCTCTGCAGAGGGACGTGCCCATGCCAAGCTTCTCTGGTAGGGTTTTACCCAGCTTAATGCCAGCCTTCTGCAGCACCTCACAGCGTGTACAGGGATTTTCTGCCTGGGATTCACACAGACTGCAGGCTTTCCTGCTGCTGTGTGCAGGATCCGTGTGGGGTGACCCGGCTCTGTGCTCTGCCTGCAGTGAGGAACCCGTGCTCTGACAGGAACGGGGGCTGCATGCACCGCTGCCACAGCCACCGCGGCCGCGCCCGCTGCGAGTGCCACCCCGGCTACCTGCTGGCCCCTGATGGCAAGGCCTGCCAAGGTGAGTGCCCTGCAGAGCTCCCCTGCAGGAAAAGCTCTGTGTCTGGTGGGTCAGGGAGTGCTCAGTGGGAACAGAGTGGAGGGAAGGACATGCTGCTTGTATTTGCGGAGTTCGCAGATGAAGGAAGGAATGATGGATCTGACTCCTTGTTCTTAGAAGGATAATTTATTCTTTTATTATCTATATTATATTAAAGAATACTAAACTATACTAAAGGATACAGAAAGGATACAGACAGAAGGCTAAAAGATACTAATGAAAAACTCATGACTCTTTCCAGAGTCCCGACACAGCTTGACCCTGATTGGCCATTGAGTCAAAACAATTCACATGAAACCAATGAAACAATCTCCAACCACAATCCAAAGCAGCAAAACACAGGAGGAGCAAATGAGATAATATTGTTTTCCTTTTTTCTCTGAGGCTTCTCAGCTTCCAGGGAGAAGAATCCTGGGCAAAGGGATTTTTCCAGAAAATCCCAGACTGCCACATATGCCTTCCCTTGGGTGGCTCAGGTGGTGTCTGTGCAAGAGCCCTGCTGGAGCTGTCTGCAACAACAGAGCTGCTCCAGGGGAGATTTAGGCTGGGCGTTCGGGGGAAGTCCTTCCCTGAAAGGAGGATCAGGCATTGGAATGGACTATCCAAGGAGGTGGTGGAGTCACCATCTTTTATTCTTTATTTAAGAATAAACTTCATTTGACACTGTGTGCTGTGACAAGGTAGTTTTAGGTCAAAGGTTGGACTTGATGATCTCAAAGGTCTTTTCCAGCCTAACTGATTTTGTGATTCTCTGAATGTCCTACTGTTGTGTGCCCATTTCCTGGGAAACTTTACAGCAATTCCAAACTCTTAACTCTGTGTCTTTATTGGTCTGCACCCCAAGGAAGAGTTCAGGCTGCAAGAAACCAGTGCAGAACGCAAATACCATAACAACAGTCCTTTGGAAGGATGTTTAAAATTCAGCCTACTTATCTTGGGCTTTCTCCCTCTCCCAGATGTGAACGAGTGCCTGACAGGGCTGGCCATGTGTGCACACCAGTGCCTCAACACCCGGGGCTCCTTCAAGTGCACCTGTAACCCGGGCTACGAGCTGGGCGCGGATGGCAAGCGCTGCTACCGTGAGTACTGCAGGCTCAGCTGTCATGTCTTCATTTCTTTTCTGCCAGGGTCAGGATTAAATGTGTGAGATGGTATTTCTGGCTGGGACTCAGATGTTTATTAGCTCTTATCTATGTTACAGTCTCACAAACCCTGAGTTCTGCAGTACTTAACTCCAACAAAGTAAAAATTGAGCCCCCTCTCTGTCTACAAGTCCTTTTAAGGATAAACTGTCCAATTAAGAAATGACACCTAAATTATTTTCACTTTTAACCCAATAACCAATCACTCATGCTCTGCAATGCCGATTTTTTATCCAATTACACAAAACCACCCAAACCCATGGAGAAGAAGGTGAAAAAGAAGGAGAAGGTGGTGAAGAACAAGGTGAAGAAGTAGGAGAAGAAGAAGGACCACCTTCCACCTTAAAACCTCCATCTTGCGCTATATATATTGCTATATTCTAAAACCTCAAACTCTGAGTTTTCCACCCTGTGGTATTACACACTTCTAGTCAAACTCCACACCCACAATCCCAGATCTATCATTCAATTTTGGAAGCTTCTCCAAGGCCCCAGGTCAACGCAGTGTACTCTTGGGGGCCTGGCAGCACAGAAAGTCTGAAATTCTCAGTGACCAGGGTTCCAACACTCAGCCCTGCCCAGCAGGACAGGGCACACCTGGGCTGCTGCAGGCACATGTTTGTCACTGCCCTCTGGGAATTGCCAGGGCCAAGCTGTGGCAATCTCTGCTGAAGGATTTCACAAGCAGTTTTGAGGATGTTTACTCCCCCACCAAGATAAAAATCTTGGTCTGGTCTTTAAAGTCACCACAAAGCCACTTTAGCTGGTTAAGGCAATTGATTTGGAGCCATTTGGCTTCAAATAAGCCAACTTCTGCTCTTGGGGACTCTGCTGGACAGGCTCAGTCAGCTGCAGATGTGTCACTGGAGGAATTGAGCCAGAGAAGGGATCACATCTGCTCCCATCAAGGAAAGAAATAAACTCTGTGATGCAAGAGTGAGCCAGACTGTCCTCACAGCTTCGTGGAGCTGCTGCACCCCAGCAGGGCCAGGCTGAGCCAGAGCCACCAGCCCCTGACAGATGACAGCCACCGTGGCAGTCCCAGTGCTGCTGGGAGCTGTGAGGGTCTCCTTGTGCAGCTGCTGGAGCTTGGCAAGGCTAGGAGGGCAAGGCTTTGCAGGCCACAAACGGGTCTTGAAAGGCATCAAACACAGCAATATGGGGTACCAGGATGATGACATGAGGTTGAAGAGCCTGATTATGTACATATCTTTCTTCTTAGGGACACAGCCAGTCTCACACCATGACACTGACATTGCCCTGGGGTCAGCAAAGCAGCCTTTCCACAGGACAAAGAGCCTGATTATGTACATATCACATGTCTTTCTTCTTAGGGACACAGCCAGTCTCACACCATGACACTGACATTGCCCTGGGGTCAGCAAAGCAGCCTTTCCACAGGAAAGGTTTCTCCCTGCCCTTCCTAGCACATTTCTTTTAAGCAAAACCCTGTTTTGTGCTGCTTTAGTAAGAAAAGAGAAGGGAGGGATGAAAAGCACGTTGTGAAATCTGGAAAGAGTCTTCCACTGTGGCACAGCTTTTGGTTTTGACAAGCACAGATCCATTGGGAAGCATCAAGCTCCCTTTCTTTCATCCTCCTTGGTTCTGAATGCACGAAAAATTCAGCGCTCTTGAAGGCAGAAATTGTTTTCCTGAGGTTCAGGACTGAGTCAAAGCTCCATGAAACAAGTTCCTTTTAGTTTAAGAAAGCTTAATTAACTAGACAAGTTTACAGAAACCTTGCCAAGCTCGGATGATCTATGGCTGCAATTGATGTTTGCGCCGACCGCTTTTGACATGTCAGGAGCTAACGATTCTCGCTGTAGGCATCTGGATGTTTCCCTACTTAGCTGTGTTCTGCTGCTCCCATTTCTGCCTGGCACCAGAACAGCTCTGCTCTGAGGCTGAGCCAACTTTTGGTTGGCAGCACACGCTGCTGCTTGGCAGGAGTGGGAGCAGTTTCATCCCGGAGACTGTCCAGAGCCTGCTCCACAACCCCGTCCCTGAGAGACTGCGTGAGATCCAGAGGTTTCTTTTTATACCCCACTTCCCAGCCCAGCAGTGGCCTCTGTGCTGAGCTATTTCCATCCTTTCCCACTGCAGATCCCCCTCCTCAGCAGGGATGCAGTGCCAGGAGCTGGTGGGGGCAGGCAGGGGCCAGCTGTGTGTGCAGATGTGTCCCACAGGATCCTAACCAGGCTGCCTTTTCCAGGGATAGAGATGGAGATTGTGAACAGCTGTGAAACCAACAATGGGGGCTGTTCCCACACGTGCCACCACACCAGCTCTGGCCCAGTCTGCACCTGTAACTTTGGCTTTAGGCTGGAAGAGGACCAGAAGTCGTGCACTGGTAAGGAACAGGAAAAATCCAGACCTTGATTTCCAAGCACATCCCAGATAATGGTGAGGATCCCTCTTGAGATCTTAGGTCAGGATCCCTCTTGGCTACTGTGTATGTGCACTTCAAACAGGCTAAAGAGGATAGAAACTGATGGAAAGTGAGAGCAGATGAAATGTTGCTCTGCTCAAAGATATCCCCAAACTTCCCTCAGGCTGTACTTGGACAGCACTTGTGACTTGGACAGTAATTATGACTTCCAAACTAATTAGTTTTTCCCGGATGAAACTGCCCCAAGCAGGAGTTAGCTGGAGTCACCCTGCTTGTAAGGACACCTGTAACCACAATCCCCAGCTGGGAATCACAATGAACTTCCCTCAAGGATTCCTCCCTGGATGGGGAGGATGATCTGTTAACACAAAGCTCCCTGATTTCAGGAACTCGAGAATTCTGGCTCAGCATTTGGCAGCAGAGCAGTAAAATCTCCCCAGAACGAGTCAGGGAGCGGTTTACAACTTCTGCCACCACTCTGCAGTGTATTAACACCCTTTGTTTCTCTTTAGATATCAACGAGTGTGACACGGGTTCTCACTGCTGTCAGCAAGACTGTTACAATTACCCTGGGGGCTACGAGTGCTCCTGCCATGCCGGGTACAGGCTCAGCACGGATGGCTGTGGCTGTGATGGTGAGTGCCAACTTCAGAGGTACCAGCTTCAGAGGTGCCAGAACAGGGCGAGATCAGTGCTGCAAACCTGAGAGCCACAGAGAGTTCTGGTTTCCCTTTGCTGCTGCAGAGGTCCTGTCCCCCTGTCCACCTCCCAGGGACCTTGCAGAGGTCCTGTCCCCCTGTCCCTGATCCCAGGGACCTTGCAGAGGTCCTGTCCCACTTCCCTGGCTCCAGGCAGGGCCAGGGACATGCAGGGTCCCTCTATTTCTAATTTGCCTGTTGTCACTCTGCTCAGTTTGTTTAGTGTTGGGCAGCTCAGTTCTAACCGAGAGCTTTGAGATGTTACAGCAACCTGGGAAAATTTTGGAGGGGTCAGAACATGGTGAGATCACTGCTGCAAACCCGAGAGCCACAGAGAGTTCTGGCTTCCCTTTGCTGCTGCAGAGATCCTGTCCCTCTGTTTACCTGTCCCATTGTTCACCTCCCAGGGACCTTGCAGAGGTCCTGTCCCCCATTCCCTGTTCCCAGAGATCTTGCAGAGGTCCTGTCCCACTGTCCCTGCTCCCAGAGACCTTGCAGAGGTCCTGTCCCCCATTCCCTGTTCCCAGAGATCTTGCAGAGGTCCTGTCCCACTGTCCCTGCTCCCAGAGACCTTGCAGAGGTCCTGTCCCCCATTCCCTGTTCCCAGAGATCTTGCAGAGGTCCTGTCCCACTGTCCCTGCTCCCAGAGACCTTGCAGAGGTCCTGTCCCCCCGTTCACCTCCCAGGGACTTTGTCTGGTCCCCGCTGTGACGCTGTCCCCTCTGTCCCTGCCCCGCAGCCATCGAGGACACAGTGGAGGCCCTGGACGGCCGGCGCCCCGTCATCCGCCCCATCCCTCACGTGGCCATCCTGCGGGATGAGTTCACCCAGCTCTTCAACGACGACTACGAGGAAGAGGAGGAGGAGGTGGAAGCACGAGGGGAGCACACGCTGTCAGAGAAGTTCGGTGGGTGCAGCAGCGGTCAGTGCTGTGCTTTGCTTGGAGCTCTTCAGGAATGACGGTGCAGGCTGGGTTTAATTGTTTGGTGAACACAGCAGGCCTGCTGAGTGCCTTTTCTGCGTTTAGCTCTGCTGCAGCCTCCACTTGGGGAGGCTCCAAACTACCCAGGCTGCTGCAGCATCCTCGGAGAGGTTCTCACCCGTGGTGCCTTGTGGTAATCACATATCTTGTGAACAGAGAGAGAGCTAGTTCTCTCCCAGGATTTTCCTCAGAAGCTGTGAGAAAGCTCAAAGAAAAGAATTAGAAACAATTCTTATCTCCATTTATTACACTTGTTGAGTCAGTGATGTGCAGAAAAGTGCACATGTGAACTGTGTTATGGAGATTATTTAGCAAAGGGTAATTTCTTAATTGGACACTAGTGACGGTATTTAGATTGACTGACCAATTAGGTCAAAGCTGTATCAGACTGTCTGTAAGGATTATGGTGTATTATTCACATGCCCTCTGAACAGAAAGGAGCTGTGAGAGAAGCAGAGAAAAGAATGATCAAAACAATTCTTATCTCATTTGCTTCTCCTGTGTTTGTGCCCATGTGGAATGTGTTCTGTTGTTTACCTGAGGTGATTGCTGGATTGGATTCTGGTGATGGTGTTTTGGATTCATTGACCAGTTGGATTCACATGTGTGTGTCGGGACTCTGGGGCAGAGTCATGGGTTTGCTAGTTAGTTAGTGATAGTTCTTGTTAGTGGAATAGAGTTATAGTACAATATAGTATAGTAAAGTGATTAATTAGCCTTCTGATATCATAGAATTCTATGCATCATTCTTCCTGCCCATCAGGCATCATAGCACTGATATTATAGGCTTTTTAATAGTATAATATAGCTTAATAAAGCAATTAATCAGTCCTCTGCAATCATGGAGTCAATGCTAATTATTGCCCGTTCAGGGGACCGTTACTACGACATTGCCTCTCGTTGCAGTCTGCCTGGAGCACACGTTTGGCCCCGAGTGCAGCCTGACCTGCGACGACTGCCAGAACGGAGCCACGTGCGGCGCCGAGGGCAGCGGCTGCCTCTGCCCGGCCGGCTGGGCCGGCCTGCTCTGCAACCAGAGTGAGTGCAGCTCTGTCCTCTGCTCCAGGCTCTGCCTGAGCTGAGCCTCACCTCTCTCTCCCTCCCCAGCTTGCCCAGCCGGCACCTTCGGCATCAACTGCAGCCAGAGCTGCCGGTGCCAGAACGGCGGCACCTGCGACCCTGCCAGCGGCGCCTGCCGCTGCCCGCCCGGCGTGGCCGGAGAGCTCTGCCAGGATGGTGAGTCCAGAGTCCCCTCAGCCTCTCTGTGCTGCTGGGGGCCATCCCTGTCCTCCTCCTCCTTCCTGGTGTCAATGTCTTAGCAGAGATTTGCCACCACTTGATGTGGTGCGAGTTTTCCCCAGCCAGCTCCCAGCACTGCGCCGGGAGTGGGCTGTTCCCTGAAAGCAGCACAGTCTGGGATACAGAGGACACAGAGGACAGCCTTGACCTCTCAGAGCCCTGTGGGTGGGTTATTTCTGTCCCAGCCAGTGGAGTTGCTGGTGACAGTGAGTGCAGAGCTGATGGGTGCCCTGGAGCACCATGAAGTGACATCCCCTGTGACACTGCGCAGCTAATTTGGAGCTGGTGTAGGGAATCTGATCTATCTCCCCCTGTAGGGCTTAAACCCTATGGCAGAAGTTGTTAAGTGTCCAGAGCAGGAGCAAGGATAAGGGAGAGGCATTCAGAATGGTTTCCAAAAGGATTTATTCCATGTAAGGGTCAGGGGCCAAAGACACAGAACGATGATGGTGTGTAAGCGTTTTTAAACGGGGGCGGTTTAAGGGGAGGGGATAAATCAGCAGCTAATTGCAGATATCCTGGGGAGGGGTAAAGGGCAGGTTCACAAAAGCATCTTCCAGTGAGGGATTTAGTGGAGGGGTTTGGGGTGATATTGAACTTTAGGGGATTTCTGAAAGGGAACTCCAAGCAGGGGGTTGGCAGCAGGCAGGATTGACAGGGAACTCAGGGTAGATCAGCAGCATCTTCCAGCTCTCTTGTTGAGCCATCCCAGTGAGAGCAGCTCCAACACATTCCTGCTCCATCTGAGTCTATCAGCCACTGAGCCTTGTGTGGAAAAATGTCATTTTAAACAGCAAAAGGAGTGGTAAATGGCACTCTTCCCCCAAAAAACAGTGCTACAGGTGTTCTGTCTTTGCACTCAAAGACCTTTGCAGTCCCTGTTCTCTGCTCATCCATGACTGGGGGCAGGGATCTCTATTTCATAGGGCATTCAGTGGCAGACACAGGAAAGAATGTCAAACCCACAATTTCCATGGTTAATTTCCATGGAAACTGTGGAGGTATTTTCCACCCAAAGCATTGGAAAGCTGTGACAGCAGCAGTTACCCAAAGTACCCAGAGTACCCAAAGGAGGTGTCACTGCTGGTGATGCTCATTTCTTGCTCCCAAAGGGTTAAAATTTGGGGGACATAATTTGAAAACCAGAAAGAGGGAGACAATGAGAGATTCAGACAAAAGGACTTCAGTCACATGTTGGGAGCATATGGGAACTATTACTGAAGGAGGAGAGTGAAGCAGAATGCAAATGAACACAAGAGATACCCCGACCTCTTCTTTCTGTAGGAAGGAGGTGGTTGAGAGGGACAGAGAGAAAACAGGAAGGTAAAATGAAAATAAACAATGCAGAATTGCTCTGTTGTCCTAAGGTGGCATTTCCTCTGCTCCTCTGTTTGTAGGGACAAGGCACGTGCTGCTGGGCAGCTGCTGGCCAGAGCACTCTGCTGACACAGCCTGTCTGCCATGTGCTTCCAATATCGAGATCTTTAGCATAACAGAGAAAAAACAGTAATTTTATTCACTTAATAGTGCAAATATCCCTGTGGCTTTTCAACAGGAGCATCCTCGTGGGTTGCTTTCTCACGGAGGACAGCCTTGACCTTTCAGAGCCCTGTGCGTGGGTTATTTTTGTCCCAGCCAGCGGAGTTGCTGGTGACAGTGAGTGCAGAGCTGATGGGTGCCCTGGAGCACCATGAAGTGACATCCCCTGTGACACTGCACAGCTGATTTGGAGCTGGTGCAGGGAATCTGATCTCTCTCCCCCTGGCTGCATTCCTTCCCTCGCTGCATCCCTGCTCCGGTTCCGAGAACTGAACACAGCTCTGGTTCCGGTGTGTTTCTCTCAATCAAAACAAACTGCTGAAACTGGCTCATCTTCCCAGGACACCTCTCTCTGTTACTAGGGTGCCCCAAGGGATTTTTCGGGAAGCACTGCAGGAAGAAGTGCAACTGTGCCAACCGGGGTCACTGCCACCGGATCTACGGCGCCTGTCTCTGCGATCCCGGCCTGTACGGCCGGTTCTGCCACTTGGGTACGCTGGGATTATCCCTGAATTCCAACCCTTCTGGCAAGGAGCTTTCTGCCCCTCGCTGACCAGCTCTTCCCTGTCCCTGCAGCGTGCCCCAAGTGGGCGTTTGGGGCCGGCTGCTCGGAGGAGTGTCGGTGCCTGCAGCGCAACTCGCGGGACTGCGACGCCAGGGACGGCTCCTGCCGCTGCAAGCCCGGCTACCGCGGCCAGCGCTGCCAGGACAGTGAGTGAGGCACAGGGCCACACCTTCAGATGGCTTGGAAAACACCTCTGAGGTCGTCATACCCAACCTGTGACCCAACACCACCTTGGCACCCAGACCGTGGCACTGAGTGCCGCATCCAGGCTTTTCTTAAACCCCTCCAGGGATGGGGATGCCACCACCTCTCTGGGCAGCCCATTCCAATGCCCAGTCACCCTTTCTGTGAAGAATTTCTTTCTAATGTCCAGCCTAAACCTCTCCTGGTGCAGCTTAAGGCTGTGTCTTCTTGTTCCTGATCCCCCCTGGCTGCACCATCCTGGCAGGGAGTGATGAGGGCTGTGCTGAGCCTCCTCTTCTCCAGGCTCAATAACCCCAGCTGCCTCAGCTGCTCCTCAGAGGATTTGTGTCCTGGACCCCTCACCAGCCTTGTTGCCCTTCTCTGGACACACTCCAGCCCCTCCAAGTCCTTCCTAAATGGGGGGCCCAGAACTAGACACAGCACTCGAGGTACTGCCCAAGCAGTGCCCAGCACAGGGGAAGAATCCCTGCCCTGCTCCTGCTGGCCAGACCATTCCTGATCCAGGCCAGGAGCTATTGGTCTTCTTGGCCACCTGGGCACACTGCTGGCTCATGTCCAGCCTGCTGTCCATCAGTCCCTGCAGGTCCCTTTCTGCCTGGCTGCTGTCCAACCACTCTGTCCCCAGCCTGTAGCACTGCAGGGGTTGTTGTGGCCAAAGTGCAGGACTCAGCACTGGGACTTGTTAAACCTGGATGTGTCCCATCTATCCAGCCTGTCCAGGTACCCCTGCAGAGCCCTCCCTCCCTTCAGCAGATCCACACTCACACACTGGTGTCATTATGTCCCCACAAATCATCCCCAGATCATCCCCCTTTTTACTAACATGGCCTCTTTTCCCCATTAATTTTCTCAGGGGAAAGCTCTGCTTGCTTTCCACCCTCCCAGACTGTCTCACCTCCTGCTCACTCAGCAGCACACCGTGCTCACACTCAGCCACGTTCAGTGGTCAGCAGGAGCTGTGTGGTGGGTGGGGACAGCTGTGACAGTGGGATGTGGGACAGCTGTGACAGTGGCTGGTGGGACAGCTGTGACAGTGGCTGGTGGAGCTTGGAAGGGTTCTCAGCACCCAGGGGCAAGGAGTAACTTCAGAGCTTCTTTCTCTCTAATTCTGGCTGTTCACAGGCTGTGACCCTGGGTTTTATGGGGATGGCTGCAAGAAGAAGTGCAGCTGCTCTGCAGGAGTGCCCTGTGACCCTGTCACCGGGGAGTGTCACAAGGAGTGTCCCCCAGGCTACCACGGCGAGCACTGCGACCAAGGTGAGGCAGGGCCCTGCAGGGCAGCTCTGAGTGTGCTGGAAACTCACCAGTCCTCAGCATTTTGCTTCACAAAACGACACAAAAGCACTTCCAGAACCCCCTGAGAGCCCCAACCCACTGCAGATGATCTGATGGGTGGCCAGCAGGGACTTCAGGGGACACAGGAGCTGCCATCCACAGGTCTCTGTGAGACACTGCTGCCTCTGGAAAGTGGGAGAGACAATTCCTGCTATAAGATTCAGAAGAGGAGAACAAGGTTTCTCTTCACCCTGCCACTGGACATCTCTGTGTGGGTTGATTGGGATCTAATTATCTTTCCCTGGCCTTGATGTATTTTCCCTTCCAGGCAATCCCTGCCCAGCACAACCAGTATCACATTTTCTGCTCTGTTCTCTAATTTTTTTTGAAAACTCTGTTTCCTCTGCAAGTGCAAAGGAGTGTTTTACCTTTAATTTACATTAGGATTCAAACTTCTGCCTCTGTATGAACCTCCTAGACAGTTTTGTGCTCTTCCATGCAGGGCCAGTTGATGGGATGGTGACTGAGCTGCCCAGCTCTGTGGATGTCTAACTGTGTCTAGCACTCAGGGTGCAGATTTCAAGATTCTGGGGGTGGTTTGTGTGCCAGAGATCTTCACTTTGGGCAGACAAAGGTGCTTTGAGAGAACCTAAAGGCAGTGAGTCATTGGCCCGAGGTGATGATTACAAAATATGAGCACAGTGTTTGGAAAAGAATAAGTTCTGCCAACCACAGAGCTGAGTGGCAACTGAAAAGCCAACCCACTGCTGCCCTTGTCAGGCTGGGGCCTCCTGAACCCCCTTCAGCTGGTTAGGACCTGCAGAAAATGCAGAAAGTTAGACATTTGGAGACAGACTGCAGCAGCAGCAGACACTGCATGGAGAGGTTGGAAGTGGCCAGCATCTGGATTTGGATTGGAGCATCCCAGGAGCTTCTGCACTAACTGATGTTTAGCCAAGCACTGCTTCACCCCAGCCCAGAAGCTGCAACCATCAGCCTCATTGATCTGCCAGCAAAGGGTCGTGGTGCAGAGCCCCATCTCTGACAGAACAAGAGCTGCAGAAAGCAGCAAAAATCCCGATGCAATTGCTAACCACAGTGCTGGAAGGAGAGATGGGAGCAGCTCCTGCAGGGCTGTGCTCCCTGGCAGGGTCTGACAGCCCTGAGCCCCCCGTGGGGGCATGCTGTGGCCCCTGGAGCTTTGTCAGGCTGGGTGCTCCCGCTCAGGATATTTTTAAAAAGGGTAAGAAAGGAGCTGAAGGCTGTAGGGGGGAGTCACAGGAAATAACACAAATATTTGTATAGAAATAGTAGGCTCTTGGCTGTTGTTCGGATCTGGAAATTATTAAAGGGTGAAGACAAACATCTGCCATCAATTAGCAAAGAGGAGGAATAACAAAAACTCCACTGTGTCACTGGAAATGGAGGCGCTGCGTTTCCTCCGCGGTTTGTCGGTGCCGGCGTGTTCCCCTCTGCTGAAGCTTTTCAGAACATTGGCTTTGGTGAGCATGGAGCTCTCATGGGGGACTCAGAGAGGATTTAAGGATCTTTGCTGTGGAGCCCTCAGTTTGCATGTCACCAGCTCGTTGCTAAATTGTGGCACGGGGTGCGAAGATCAAAGCGAGCTGGGATCAGCAGGACCACGCTGGCATCAGAGCAGAGGGAAGGAAAAGCACTTATTGCTCCTCTGGATGAGGATGTTCCTTCTTTCCTTCTTTCCATCTGTGTCCTGCTGCAAACCTGGCTGTTTCTTAAAATCCTGCTGCTAAGATCTGGAGGCATTCATCCAGAGAGGTAAAAACCCCCAGAGCACCTTGGAAAAGCCAAGGGTGGTTTGGTGTGGGGCTGTGACCCTGGTGTTCTGCACCCCAGCCCAGAGACAGCAGCGTGCCTTGGGCAGAGTCCTTGTCCAAAGACTGGAGATCAGTTTGGCCTCAGTTTTTGTGGGTGTGAGTGGTCACTCTTGCATGAAGAAATACTTGTTGAAAGGACACACATCAGGCAGACAGACCAGGTGGTGCTGGCAATGCTGGAGGTGACCAGAGTGGCTCACAGAGGGGTCACACCTCTAAATCACTAATGTTGGAATCACTAATGTTGGAAAAGATCTCCAAGATCACCAAGTCCAACCTTTGAGCAAGCACCAAATGTTGGAAAAGATCTCCAAGATCACCAAGTCCAACCTTTGAGCAAACATCACCATGCCCACTAAACCATGAGCACAGGTGGGAACCTCTCACAGGTGTAGGAACCCTCCACAGACCCAGAGGCTCCTTCAGCCTGCAGGGCCAGGTTGGTAAAATGCTCTTGGGTATCTTGGGGGGGATGTTCTGACCTTGCTGTTCTCCCACAGAGTGCCCTGAGGGGACATTTGGGCCAGGCTGTCAGCATCCCTGTGCCTGTGGAGAAGCATCCTGTGACAGGAGCACGGGGCAGTGCCACTGCCCCCCTGGCTGGACAGGACACGACTGTGCCCAAGGTAAGCAGAGCAAACACTCAGGGATTTCAGTGTGGAGGGAGGGATTTAGGTGTAGACCTGTTGCTTTTCTTTTACTAAAACTCATTTTAAAAACACCCAGTGCAGTTAGAATCATCTTTGTGGAAAATTACAGAAAATTGCAGCTTTTGATGGTGAGTCTTGAACAACATGATGAAAAAGATGAAGATGTTTTTTGTTGTTGCAGTCCTCAGTGTAGGAGAGGAACCTTTCTTTATTGATGCATGTTTTTCATTGCCTTCACCAGATTACTCTTTAACTGCTGGAAAACTAGAAAGTCTGAAATGGAAAGCTTTTGCATGATTCTGCAGTATTGCAGCAGCTGGAAGGAATTAGTTGCATAGAGATGTCCTGCTCCTAAAGAGTTTGGCTGAGCAATGAAACTACGTGTGCACAGTGCTTACCATACGTTTCAAGCTGCCTTTTTTCCAGGCCCTGGAGCAGCTTAGGACCAGTTGGAGAAGGATTCCTGCCCTGGTTTTAGCAGTTTAGCCTTTTGCTCCTTCTTTGCAGCTCCCAGTGGGTCCCAGAGCAGTGACTGATGTGCTGTCCACGGTGTGACGGCAGCTGTGGAGCCCCTGTGCCAGCAGCACCATTTCCCACTGAGGAGCCCTTGGAGCTCCCTGCAAGTGGCTGCAAATCCAAAATTGGCATGAAAATCCTGGAGTGAGCTCAGAATAGCACTTAGAGACAGGCAGGGCCATGCTGTGCTCGCTGGTAGCCACGTGCTGCGAACAAAATCCACGTCTCGCATGAGCACAGCACTGACGGCCAGAGGGAGCCCAAAAGGTCTCACATTTCCCTCTGCCACCTCAGCTCTGATCCTGGTGCTCTGTGTTCTCTGTCTGCTCACGCTCCAGCCTGCCCTGAGGGTCTCTGGGGGCCGGGCTGCCAGGAGATCTGCCCTGACTGTGCCAACAATGCCAGCTGTGACCGCGCCACCGGAGCCTGTCTGTGCCCACCTGGCTACACCGGGCAGCGCTGCCAGGATGGTGAGTGCAGCCTGGGCTGGGTTCCTCACCTCCAGCTGCAACGGGGGTATCTCAGCTGAGCTGGAGCATCCAGTGACAGACCAGGCACTGCCACACTCAGCACTGTGCACATCTCTGTTCCTCACTCATTGGGGTGCAGCCTGGGGCCTTCAAAGTCCTTCTAGCCCCATCTCCACTGCAGTGACTTCTGCAGCAGGAGAAAAGAAGGTGGAATGCTGAGCCCCTTGTCCCGTTCAGCACCTGCACTCGGGGTGTCAGGGCTGTGTCAGTGCTCTGCTGGAGCACCGCGGCACCCAGTAGCTCCACCCGGGGCCGGGATTCCAGCAGCCACCTGCAGTCCCTCCTGTTTCCCTTGGCAGTGTGTCCAGCCGGCTGGTTCGGCCCCGCCTGCCAGCTGAGCTGCAGCTGTGGCAACGAGGGACATTGCCATCCGGTGACGGGGACGTGCAGCTGCCCGCCCGGCTGGACGGGGCACCACTGCCAGCGAGGTACAGCCCCTGTGCTCTGCCACCCCCACTCCTGGGCCACTCTGACTGTGCCAAGCTATGCTGCCACCTCCCCATTCTCATCCTCGTCCTGGCTGTGCCTCTGCCAGGGAAATCGCTCTGAAATCCTTTTGGTTTCTTTGCTGTCTGTCTGGTGCTGGCAGTGCCGCTGGCCTCTCTGCAGCTGTGTTGGTCGTTGTGCCCAAGGGATGTTGTGCCTGCTGATGAAGGCAGCGCTGTGCCCATCCCATGCTCTCTGGTACTCACCAGTGATGGCTCTTGCTGTGTTTTTCCAGCCTGTGACCTGGGGCGTTGGGGCCCTGACTGTGCCCACGCCTGCAACTGCAGCAACAGCGACGGCAGCTGCAGCGCCGAGAGCGGGCAGTGCCTGTGCGAGGCCGGCTACACGGGCACCCACTGTGAGCAGAGTGAGTGCTGCCCCTGCCCTGCCTGCCCTCTCACCCACCAGGGCCTGCAGGGCTTCCAGGGAAAGGCTCCAGCCCATCCCCTGCCCTGGCTGTGGTGCTGATCCCGTGCCCAGGGTGATGTGGGTACACACCTGTACGGGGTGGGTTAGAACCCGCTGGTTGTGGGTTCAGCTGTCAGATATTTTTATTCCATTCAGAATGCAAGCTCCTGCCTTAGATAGCTTCTCTTGGACCCAGGAAGGGACAGACTCCTCAGTCTCATTTTTTTCCAGAGTGCCCAGAAGGGTGGTTTGGGCAGAGCTGTCGGCACCAGTGCCAGTGTGACAATGGAGCCACCTGTGACCACGTCAGCGGGGCCTGTACCTGCAGCCCAGGCTGGCGAGGAACCTTCTGTGAACATGGTGAGTACCTGACCCTGGGCACCAGGCCTCCATCCCAGAGGCTTTGTGCTCCCTGTCTGACTTTGTCATCCTGTTACAGCAAAGGGAATTCCTCAGGATGGCCCTGGGCAGAGCAACAAGTCTGCAAGCTGCTGCCTTTAGTTTTATTTCTGGAGGGAAAAGGTTTAGGGGGAAAAAAGCACTACGAAAATGTAAATAATAGGTGACCCAGTGGTTGCACAGCTGCTGTGGTCACCTGAGTGTGTACATGTTGCACACAGGGTCTTGGAGCAGCCTCTTGGAGGATCCCTGGATGCAGGGATCCAGCTCCCCCAGCAGCCTCTCCGTGGTCAGGAACCTCAAGCCATCACTCTCCTGATCCACCACTGCCCTCTCCTGTACCTGGAATGTCCACAGTGAACTTGCATCCAACATCTGCTGCCCTCAGCAGCACTGTCACACTGGTGCAGCCTCACATTGGCCACAAAGGCCACCAAGGGGCAGGCACCTTCTCCCCCTGGAGGGCTCCAGCTCTGCATTTTGTGTGGATTTCTCCTTTGTTTTCCACAGCCTGCCCTGATGGATTTTATGGACTGGAGTGTCAACAAGCCTGTGACTGCCTGAATGGTGCCCACTGTGACCCTGTGACAGGACAGTGCCAGTGTCCCCCGGGCTGGACTGGTGCCCGCTGTGCCCAGGGTAGGTGTCTGTGGCCAGGGTAGGTGTCTGTGCCCAGGGTAGGTGTCTGTGCCCAGGGCAGGTGTCTGTGGGAGATGCCCACCCTGCCCTCCATGGCACTCTGGAGCCAGGGCTGTCTCTGCTTCCAGGTCATAGGAACCAGAGTTCTGGGTTGTCTGTTCCCTATTTGTGATTTTCTCTGTGTGCAGTTTAATTTGGGTTCAGACTGGGGGGGCTCTGCCTGGGCATTTGTGGGTGAATGCAATGAGGGTTTGGGCATCCAGAAAAACTGCTTCCAAACAGATGAAGGATGTAACAGTGATGGTAGCAGTGTCTGTGTTTGGATGCCAGGCCTGTAGGACACATCATTTCCCTGTAACCCCACAAAACCCCCTCACACAGCAGCCAGCCACCCCTGACACATCCTCTCCCAGCCCTTGGCAGGGTTGGCAGGAGCCTGGCTGCTGTAATTCCCACCCTGTGCCCACCACTCCTGCCTGCTGTGCTCCCCTGCAGCGTGCCCGCAGAACAGGTACGGCCAGAACTGCAGCCTCACCTGCCACTGCTTCAACAACGCCACCTGCAGCCACATCAGCGGCCTCTGCCTCTGCTCCGAGGGGTGGACAGGACCCTCGTGCCAGCAAGGTAACCCTTCCCACACCCCTGCTTCCCCTGGCAGCACGGGGAGGGATGCCATTCCTCAGGGTGGGCGAGGAATGGTGCCCACCTGTGTCGCTGTGTTCGCGGGTCCCAGGACAAGGGAAGAGATGAATCTGACTCCATGTTTCTTAGAAGGCTGATTTATTATATTATGATATTGTGTTATATTAAAGATGCTGTACTAAAGCTATAGTAAAAAGAATAGAGAAAGGACTTCATCAGAAGGCTAGGAAAGGAAAGGAGTCAATAAAAACTCCAGACAGGCAGCGATTCCGACACAGCTGGCTGTGATTGGTCATTAAGTAAAAACAATCCACATGAGACCAATCAAATGTGCACCTGTTGGTAAACCAGACCACGTTCCACAGCCATCAGGTAGTTATTGTTTACATTTCTTTTCTGAGGCTTCTCAGGAGAAAAATCCTGGCAAAGGATTTTTCAGAAAATATGACAGTGACACACCTGAGCAGGTGACATACCTAAAGTTGTCATTGCATCAAAATCAGTGTTGCTGCATACCAGACCATCCACCCACGGCTCTGGCAGCGTGGCACAAGCCTCCAGAGCTGTGTCCTGACCGGGATGTCTGTCCTGTTTGTCCCTCAGCCTGCCCGGAGGGGTTTTATGGGAAGAACTGCCAGCAGCGCTGCCTCTGCCACAACGGCGGCACCTGCGACCCGGCCACGGGGACCTGCGCCTGTCCTGCGGGCTGGACCGGGTTGGCCTGTGAGCTGGGTGAGGAAACAGCTGGGAAACAGCTCTGGGGCACACAGGGCCTGGTTTGGAATGGTTTTCTGATGGTTTTCAGCTTGCTTTTTCTACCTCTGTCGGGTCAGGATTCACTTGAGACAATAGTTGGCGTTCAGGCGTAGATGTTTATTGTTTGTTGTCAATGTTACAGCCTCACAGCAGTGAGTTCTGGTAACAGTGAGTTTTTTTCACTAACAAGGCACAAAATGGCCAACTATCCCTTGTTACAAGGTCTTTTAAGGATAAACTATCCAATTAAGAAATGACACCTAAATTATTTTCGCTTTTAACCCAATAATGATCACTCAGAGTCTGCAATGCGGACTTTTCTGTCCAGCTACAAAATACCACCCAAACCCATAGAGAAGAAGGAAAAGGAGGTAAAGAAGGAGGACCAGCCTCTGCCCTAAAACCTCCATCTTTCTTTATATATATTCCTATATTCTAAAACCTTAAACTCTTAAGTTTTCCACCATGTGATATTATACACTTCTAATCAACTCCACACCCATAATCCCAATTCTATCCACCAATTTTGGGTGCTTCTCCACGGCCTCAGGTCAAATGCAGTGTTCTCTAGGGAGTCAGAGCCTGTCAGCACAAAAAGTCTAAAATTCTCAGCATCCCGAACTCCACCAGTTTTCCTGTGGAGGTTGGAGGTGATGCGGGAGGGGTTGGGGCGCTCGGTCCTTCCTGTGTGTGCAGGGAGGGTGGGAGCTGGGAGGGTGGGCACCAGGGCAGTGTCTCACCCTGTGCCCCTGCCAGCCTGTGCCCAGGGGCAGCACGGCCTGGAGTGCCAGCAGCGCTGTGAGTGCCAGCACGGGGGGCTCTGTGACCGCCGCACCGGGCACTGCCTCTGCCAGCCTGGCTGGACCGGCGACAAGTGTGACACAGGTGAGTGGGGTGTCTGGGGGCTGAGCTGGGCATCGTGGCTCTGCCAGCACCTGGAGGGTCTAGGGGCTCAAGCACAGACAGAGAATTCAGATTTCAGCAAGCAGGGAGCTGGCAGTGCGGTGGTTTTGGCTGTGCCCCTGTTTTGCTGTGCCCTTTCTCCTTCCATCGAGTCACAGAGGGGTTTGGGTAGGAAGGGACCTTAAAGTTCATCCAGTTCCACCCCACCTGGTTCCTGTTGTCTGAGGGCTGTCCTGAAGGTGCTGGTGCACACCCTGAGCAGCCTGTGGCAGTGCTGGTGGGAGGGGGATGGCATTCCCAAAGGCACAGACCCCCAGGCAGCAGTGCAAAACCACAGGCTGCAAGCAGGGATCAAGGCAGGGCAGCAACCCAGCATGAGGAAACCAAAATGCCAAGGGAGGACCTTCCTCTGCCAGGATTATTTTAAGAGTAACAGTGGATTGTCCCCTTCCCACTCTTCCTTCTGTGTGTCCTTGTATCACACTGACCCTCAGGGCCTGGCTTTGGTCCCAAGCCCCAGCAGGCCATGGCATCTGTCCCTTGGTGGCTCCATGTCTGCTGTGACACACACCCTGGCTGTGGGAAATGGATTTGTAAAGAATTCTTAAAACTTGTTTCTAATTCAATCTCTCAATAATTGATAATAGAATAAAATCTTTTAAAACCTCTCTCAGCCCATCTCTGTAAAAGCTGAGAAAACGAACTCCTGGCAATCTCCTTCTCCTGAGGAAGGGATTGAAAAATCTCTTTGCCTTCAGAGCAGTGACAGGGACCTCATCACATATCTGCACACCAAGCAGAGATCCACAAGCTTCTTCCCTTCTGGGGTCATGACACCTCAGCTTGGCACCTCCTTATGAACTCCTGGCAATCTCCTTCTCGTGAGGAAGGGATTGAAAAATCTCTTGGCCTTCAGTGACAGGGACCTCATCACATATCAGCACACCAAGCAGAGATCCACAAGCTTCTTCCCTTCTGGGGTCATGACACCTCAGCTTGGCACCTCCTTAAATCAGGGTGTGAAGTGCAGTGGCAGCACTTGGCAGCTGGCACAAGGGAGCTGCCACCAGAGCCTCAGCTGCCCCCAGCCACTCTCAGGTTTCCTGCTGGGGATGTTTTTCCCTTCAGGGGGCTGTGAACAGCTCTGCTGGCAGCTGAGGCTTGGCCACACAAATCACCTCCCTGGGTCCTGCCGCATCCCGAGGGACAATGTCCCCTCCCAGCATTGTCACAAGGTCCCAGAACCCCACACAGCAGCACGGGGCACCAGGCAGTGTTAAGCACTTCTATAGTTTCTTCCAATATAAATTAATGAAGAAACCCATCCAAAAAGTAGAAATTATGCTGTTTTTAATAAAAAAGCACCAGGCTAGGGTCGTGTCAGCTCCCCATGGCTCTATTTCAAGCTGTGTGTGCACAAGAGACAGACCCAGTCAGCTGTGGAACTACAGGGAAAAAGTCCCCAAAAGTTTGGTTTTTTTTTCTTTTTTTTTTTTTTTTTTTTTTTTTTTTTTTTTTTTTTTTTTTTTTTTGTGCAACTTGTCCTCTCTGTTTTCATCCCTGAAGCTTGTCCAGAGGGGCTGTTTGGGGCACGCTGTGAGGAGCTCTGTGACTGTGGGGACAACGTCTCGTGCCACCACGTCACCGGTGCTTGTGACTGCCCCCCTGGCTGGAGGGGCCGGCGCTGTGAGAAAGGTGAGGAACACCCCTGGGTGAGGGAAACCCAGGGAAACATCAGCTGCTCCAGAGCCTGGGAAGAGGGAAACTTCATTTTTCATGAGAGTTACACGTTGTGGCAAAGTATTTTGAGGCTGTGACATGAGATGCTGTTGGGTTGGTTTGGCGCTGGAGCAGGAGCCCCTCAGAGGAGGCTCTGATGGTTTCCAGGAATTAGCAACAACTTAAATCCAGGCAGAATGCCCATTTTCAGCTTTCTTTTTCCTCTGTCAAGGTCAGGATTGAAGGCACTTGAGACAATGGTTCACGTTCAGACTCAGGTGTTTATTGTTTGTTATCTGTGTTACAGCCTCACAGCAGTCAGTTCTGCAGTTCTTCATTAACAAGGCACAAATGGCCAACAATCTTTCATTACAAGGTCTTTGAAGGCTATCCAATTAAGAAATGACACCTAAATTATTTTCACTTTTAACCCAATAACTGATCACTCAAGAGTCCGCAATGTGGACTTTTCTGTCCAATTACAAAATACCACCCAAACCTATGAAGAAGAAGGAGAAGAAGAAGGTGAAAAAGGAAGAAGAAGGTGAAGAAGAAGGACCGGCCCTCACCCTAAAACCTCCATCTTGCTTTATATTTATTACTATATTCTAAAACCCCAAACTCTGAGTTTCCCACCATGTGATATTACACAATTCTAACCAACTCCACACCCATAATCTCAGTGCTATCAATCAATTTTGGAAGCCTTCTCCACAGCCTCAGGTCAATGCTGTGGGGTCAGCACAGAAAGTCTGAAACTCTCCAGAGCTCCAACAGCAGCAGACTGACATCCCACTGTTTGTTTTCCCACAGCCTGCCTGCCAGGTTTCTTTGGGAAGAACTGTGCCAGTCGCTGTGGCTGTCCCCGGGGAGTGCCCTGTCACCATGTCACCGGCCGCTGCGGCTGCCCGCCAGGACTGACCGGCTCTGGATGTGAAAAATGTACAGAGATGGGAATGATCCTCCTGCAGCTCTGCTGGCAGGCTCTGGGAACGGGATGGGCCAAGCAATTCCTACAGAAAATAGAAGGGAAAAAAAAAAAGATAAGGACAAACAGCCCCAGAGCAAAGCTGTGCCAAGGAGCAACTCCCAGGCTGGCAGCTGGGTGCATGCCTGTGGAATGTTAGCAGGGCAGAGGGAGCCAAGTGGGAAATCAGAGCTGGGTATTTATGCAGAGGATTAGTAATAAATCACTATTAAAATGAGCTCCTGTGGGTATGAGCAAGTCTGGAAGAGACAGAGGTGTGTGAGCACGTTCCTTATGCAAAGGACAGTGCTGGGTGTGCCATGTCTGTGTGTGGAGCCTGTAGAAATGTGAGGGCAGGAAGGGCTGGCACAGCTAAAGGCATCTAATGCCTTTAAGTACTTGCCTTTCCTTTCAATCCAAGTATTTCCTGGAGTGAATGAACCTTTTGCATGAGAGTCTCTTTGCTTTTTGGGTGGCGGAGAATTTTACTGCCATAAAAGGCTTTCTAAATCCGGGCTTAAAATAAAATGTTTTAAAAAAAGCCTTGCAGAGAGGGGTGGGATGGCTGCTGAGCCACCTTGGTGCCCTGTCTCCTCACAGCCTGCCTGCCAGGGACCTTCGGGGAGGGCTGTGCTCAGATCTGCCAGTGCGCCGGAGCCACCCAGGAATGTCACCCTGTCACCGGGGCCTGTGTCTGTCCCCCTGGCTTCCACGGTCCTGCCTGCCAGCTGGGTGAGTCCTGCTCTGCTCCCATCCCCTTTGCAGGCTGTGCCATCCCAAAATCCCGGTGCCATGAGGGATGTGTGTGAGTCCTGGGTGCTTTGGGGCTGGCACAGAGAGCTCCCAGCAGAGCTCTCTGCCTGCTCCCGGGTTAAACATCCATGCAAATCCACCTGCTGGATTTCCCCGGGCTGTCTGCACCTTCTCCTTGGATTTGTAGCCGCTGTTTGTTGTCCCCTCAGAGTGCTCCCCGGGCTGGTACGGCCGGGACTGTGCGAGGCCGTGCCAGTGCAGGAACGGGGGCAGCTGTGACACTGCCACGGGGATGTGCCACTGCCCGGCCGGCTTCATCGGCGCCGACTGCGCCATCGGTGAGCTCTGCTCCAGCCACAGGGGCTGGGGAAACAGGGGAGCTTCCTCAGGGGGGTCTGAGGGGTGGGAGAGGCAGACCCTGCCCGCAGAAAAACCCTGTGGGGGATGAGCAGCAGAACAAGGACTGAATCCTGGGAAAAGCTCTTTTGTCCATCTGTTCTGGCATCAGTGCCCTCCTGCTGTGTCCCAGGGAAGGAGCCTCCAGATGAATGTGTTTTCTGTCTGCCTTAGCCACGGAAATGCTTTCTGCTGTGTTTATTTTATGACATGATATGTATAGTTTATGATATTTTATGATTTCTCCTGACACACCGTGCCCTTGCTGTACTGCTGTACAGCCACGGCTGGGCAGGGCTTGAGCAGCCTGGCTTAGTGGGAGATGTCCCTGCCCATGGCAGGGGGACTGGAAACCGATGATCTTTAAGCTCTCTTCCGACCCAAACCATTCCATGATCTGATGGCACAGCAGGGCAGGGCTGGAGGCTCCTTCTCATCCCATCGCTCAGCGCCAGTGCTGTGCAAAACTTTCCCTCTCTCACCTCCCACCTCCCCAGCCCTGCTTCAGCCTGATTGAGGTTTTCCTCCCTCCAGGATGTCCTGCTGGCCGCTATGGCCAGGACTGTGCAGGGCTGTGCCCCTGTGGGGCCGGTGTTCCCTGTCACCCTGTCACTGGAGACTGCGTGTGCCCTCCGGGCAGAGCTGGCCCCACATGTCAGCAAGGCAAGTGTCGTGCATCGGGACTGTCAGGCACTGCTTGGGAAAGGAAATTATTTCCTTGCTCTGACATGGTCCCTGTGCCCACCACCGCTGCCTCTGGCCCCACAGGTTGTGAGAAGCACCGCTATGGGCTGGGCTGCCAGCAGCCCTGCTCCTGCCACAACGGGGGGCTCTGCGACCCCACCGATGGCTCCTGCTCCTGTGCCCCGGGCTGGACGGGCAAATCCTGCGAATTAGGTAACCCTGGCCCGGATCCCTGACCCTCTGACTGTGGAGCTCACACGCTGGGTCTGGTTTCTGTCATCGCAGCCGTGCCAGCCCTGCCTTGGCACAGCCCTCTGGAGGTGGCTGTGGGGCTGCTGAGCAGCTCTGCCACTCCCTCTGCCCGCAGAATGCCCTCCGGGGAGCTTCGGTGCTGCCTGCCAGCTGCGCTGCTCCTGCCTGCACAACGCCACCTGCCACCCGGCCACCGGCACCTGCCACTGCCCCACCGGCCATTACGGGCCCCTGTGCGAGCACAGTGAGTGGTGGCAGCGGGGACACCCTTGGTTTGGGACATGGGGGGTGTCTAAAGCTTGTCCGGAGAGGAGAGATGCAGGACATGGGTGTGATTGTTGCTACAGGACATGTAATAAAACGATGTGGACATGCAGCTTTCCAAGGCAAAAATAAAGAGCTTTTAATTTCAGACTCCAACATTTATAGATTTCCAAAAGTGACAGGGGATTGGAGGGTGACAGTGCCACCTCTCCAATGACACTGGACAAACCAACAGTCTGTCAAATTTCTCCTCCTCCGTAAAAGAATGAAAAAAAACAAGTTATTTGCATAAATTCAGTGAAAAAGTTCATTACAAGAATGCAAACATCAGAAGGCTTAGAAAAACTTAAAAAACTGGGCGACACGTGACAGCAGTGTCACACCCCGCGGGGCTCTCCCTTTTCCAAGGGTTCGCAGTGAGCCCTTCCAAGGCAGAGGGTGATTTCTGATTCCTGTGTGACCCCACTGGCACAGAGATGCCATCCCAAGGCACACATGTCCCCAGTGCCCAGCAGTGCCTTCCCAAGGCACACACATCCCCAATGCCCGGCAGTGTTGGGCACCGAGCAAATCCCGTGGCGCTAAACGCGGGGCTTGGAGCACCGGGGCGCGAGTCGGGCACAAGCTGAGCTCTCTGCTCCTCCCTGCCAGGTGGCTGGGGCTCTGCTGCAGAGCTCTGCTCACCCCCTCTCTAACGAGCTTCTCCCGTGCCAGGCTGTCCCCCGGGGTTCCATGGAGAGGGCTGCCGGGAGCGCTGTGACTGCGAGCACGGGGCGGGCTGTGACCCCGCCACCGGGCGCTGCCGCTGTCCCCCGGGGCTGCGGGGCGAGCGCTGTCACACAGGTACCCCCGTCCTCCTCCTCCTCCTTCTTGCCCTTCCCTGGGCATCCTGAGGGCTGGGCACACAGGCCAGGGGCTGTATTCTGTGTTTCACACAGGCTGCAAGGAAGGAACGTATGGCGAGGGGTGCCAGCATCTCTGCGACTGCCCCAGCGATGTCCCCTGCGACCCGGTCACGGGGCGCTGCCTGTGCCCCCCGGGCAAAACCGGCCCCACGTGTGCTGCAGGTGAGCTGAGCCCCGGCTGGGCAGGGGAGGAAGGGGGCTGTGTGATGGGGGGTTTGCTCCCAGGAAGCTGGGAGAGGCTTTTTTCTGGTGTGTCACCTCACAGAGTGAGAGGGGCAGTGGCATATTGTATTTGTGGGGTTCCCAGATGAAGGAAGGAATGATGAATCTGACTCCATGTTCTTAGAAGGCTAATTTATTATTGTATTATATTATATTGTACTAAACTGTACTAAAGAATACAGAAAGGGTACTTAAAAAAGGCTAAAAAGATAATAATGAAAGCCTGTGACTCCTTCCAAAGTCCTGACACAGCTTGGCCCTGATTGGTCAATGAGTCAAAACAATTCACATGAAACCAATGAAACAACCACCTGTTGGATAAACAATCTCCAACCACATTCCAAAGCAGCAAAACACAGGAGAAGCAAATGAGAAAATGTTGTCTAACCTTTTTCTCTGAGGCGTCTCAGATTCCCAGGAGAAGAATCCTGGGCAAGGGCATTTTTCCAGAAAATATGACATTGACAGTGGCACTTATCTCTCTGGCCCCTGTTTGCAGTCAGATCTGAATGCAAATTCTCCCCCAGCCTCCAGAGCCTGTGTGTTCAGATGGACACGGTCAAAAGGCTGAGGGTCAAAGGCTGAAGGGACATCCTGGTGGCCTGGGGATGCTCTGGTGTCCTGTGTCACCACAGCAAAAAGCTCTCTGCCCTCTCCTGCACCCGGCTCTGCCTGCAGCATCCTGGGAGAGCTCGGAGCCTTCCTGCTCGCTGCTGCCACGGGCAGCATCCTGAGCAGCTGTGTGCTCTCTGCAGACTGCCGGCCCACGCAGTTCGGCCCTGAGTGCCGCCTGGCATGCCAGTGTGCCCCCAGCAGCTCCTACTGCAACGCCCGGAACGGGCAGTGCCTGTGCCTGAACGGCCACACGGGACCCACCTGCCGGGAAGGTGAGGCCACGGAGGGGACAACGGGGCAGAACGCGAGGGGAGGCTGTGCCTGTGCTCAGGGTGTGGGTCCTGTGCCAGGGCGTGGGTTTGGGAAGGGTAAATCAGCTCAGTCCAGTCACTTAGGGGAGCACCTGCCTCTTCCCAAGTCCCTCAGTTGGTCTCACCTGTTTGCTGTCACTGCAGCCACCAGGGAGGTTTGTGAAGTCTCAGAATTGAGGCTGTTTAACAGCCTGGACACAAATGTGCCCCTGGAACAGACAGGGCACAAATCCCACTCTGAGCACAAGCTGGAATGTTGATCCCATGCACCAACCACAGTGAAACCCCCACACACCTCATCTCTGCCCAAACCTGTGGGCTCAGAGTGACCCCCGTGGGTGCTGGGTGGGGGACAGGAGGGTCTGACCCAAACCCAGAGACTGGGAACAGTGCTCCCAGCTCCCAGTGGGGAGGGGAATGGGGAGGAGTCTTGTATTTGCAGGGTTCCCAGACAAAGGAAGGAATGAGAGATCTGACTCCATGTTCTTAGAAGGATAATTTATTATTTTATTATCTACATTATATTAAAGAATACTAAACTATACTATACTAAAGGATACAGAAAGGATACAGACAGAAGGCTAAAAGATACTAATAAAAGACTCGTGACTCTTTCCAGAGCCTTGACACAGCTTGACCCTGATTGGCCAATAAGTAAAAACAATTCACATGAAACCAATTAAAAAACCCACTTGTTGGATAAACAATCTCCAACCACATTCCAAAGCAGCAAAACACAGGAGAAGCAAATGAGATAATATTGTTTTCCTTTTTCTCTGAGGCTTCTCAGCTTCCCAGGAGAAGAATCCTGGTGAAGGGATTTTTCCAGAAAATATGACTGCCACAGAGGAGGAATGGGGAGGGAATGTTACCCAAGGCAGGGCAGTGGTGTGGAGGGTCAGCCCTGCAGCAGGGCTGCCCACAGCAAGGACTGACCTGTCCTGGACCTGTCCTGTCTTCTCTTCCAGCCACGCAGTCCCTGCCACCCACCAGGCCACCACCACCCCCGGAGGGGCTCCAGCCAGAGGAGAAGTAGATCCTGCTGTGGGAGCGCTCCCTTGGTTTCACCAAGCAGCCACCTGAAGAAGCCAATGACCTGTAACGAACTCATTTTTGAGCCACATGAGCAGCTCTCATCTCCTGACAGCCCCAGCTGCTGCTTTTGGGGTGTGTGAGTGAGGCTGAAGCTCCCAGTTTAACCAGTTCACTGTGCCAGCGCGGGCTGGCCGTGGGGACACGTGTGCCCACTCCAGAGACCTGCGTGCCTTTGGCCAGAGACCAGATGAGCACTTCAGGAGGGATCAGTTCTGGTCAGGGGACAGTGGACTTTGACAGCTTGTGACACATTGCTGGCCTTCAACTTTTGGGTGCTGGGCTTGGGGAGGGGGCTGAAATCATGGTCCAAATCAGGTATTTATGCATCAATATTTATGGGAAGCTGCACCACAGTGTTCTCAGGACTGATGTCTGTTTCTCCTGAGACTGGGCCTCCTGTGGATGCACCACCTCACTTGAATTATTTTTTTTTAATTTGAGTTTTCCATGGTGGTTTACTGTAAGTGACCATTTGCCAGGGGAAAACATGCATGGCTCCAGCACTCACCTGCAGAGCTGGTACCTCCTGACAGAACAGGCTGTGCTAGACAAGCTTGTCAGGGGCCTGGAGCCTGTTCTTCATGCCAGGAGTTTGTGAGTCCATGGCCCAGGAGTTTGTCAGTCTGTGGTGCTGCCCATGTCACTTACTCCAAGCAGAAGGAAGCCAAAATCGAGTGTGGAAGTCAGAGATTCTGCATGGATGGAGACAAAGAGCTGGCTCATCTGGTCAATGCAAATCCCCATTGGAATGGGCTCTCCCAGCCCTGAATCCTGAGTTATTGTGCCATGCCAGTCATTGCCAGGAGTTGGCCACCTGCAGCAGCGGGGAATGTCACCACTCCAGTGTCACCACATCACCCTGGTCAGGGCCCAGGGCTCCCTTTGTCTGTTTGCACAAAGCTCCTGGGCAGGTGAAGCCACTGCCAGAGGAACCCCAGCTCTGCAGAGAAGAGGACAGCCCCATCCCGTCCCCTCCCGTCCCCTCCCATCCCCTCCCATCCCATCCCATCCCATCCCATTGCTCAGAGCAAGCCCTGTACCTGTATTTTTATATAATGTTCTTTTCCTGTTCATATTTCTTAATATGGTTTGTTTGCTTCCTCTTTTCTTGTACTGTGTCCCTTTTTAGACCTTCTTTAATTTAGCACTGATGAAAAATGTTACTTTCTCCACAGTTAAAAGAAATAAACAGAAAGCCTGGCTGAGTTTCTACTTACCTTGTGTGTCTCACTCAAATGCACCTGACAGCTGCTCCAGGTGACAGCAGGCTGGCAGGAGCTCTGGAGGGTGTTTCAAGATATTGTGTCAGAACATGCAATGCCACCAGCAGAATGAAGCTTCATTTTAGGGCTCATGGTTGGCACAACCTGGCTCCTTGGAGCTGGCATGCTCAGGGACACTCACCACTAACAGAGAACACGTGGTTCATGGGTATCCAAGGATTTATTGTTACCTTAATTTACAGTTTGATCAGAACAGACCTTACATCAACAGTGCCCCTGTGAATGTGAAGTTGGCAGTGTAGGGGCTGGCTCACCCCAAAACTGTAGCTGCCATGTCCCCTGCATGGGTGTGAGGAGCTGAGCTCCGAGCAGAGGCCCCTCCCCAGCTGGGAGGAGGGAAAGGCAGGTGGGAGCTGCAGCACTGCTCCTCATTTGTAGCTGCCATGTCCCCTGCATGGGGTGTGAGGAGCTGAGCTCCCCAGCAGAGCCCCCTCCCCAGCTGGGAGGAGGGAAAGGCAGGTGGGAGCTGCAGCACTGCTCCTCATCCTGCCTCTGCTTCCCCCTCTGCTTGGAGCAGATCCCATTCCTGGCCTCAGAGCTGACTCCATGGGAACAACTCTGGCATCAAGTATTTTATCAAGTGACCAAAATGTGTCTGGCATCACCTCACCAGTGCAGGGCACAGCTCTGCCCAAAGGGCCCAAGAATTATTGTGGGGGAGAAAAAAGAAAAATGAGCAGAAACTGGGTTGAGGAACAAACCAAACTCATGGATTTAAGCTCCAAACAGCCTGACTGGGGTGTGCTCTCCCCACACCAGGTGTGCAGCAGGTGCTGGCCCAGCTGCCAGCAGGGACGGAGATGGTGACATGGGCACCTCAGAACCCAGAACAGCTCCAGCTTTCCAACCTGAGCCAAGCCCTTGGCTGCTCCCAGAGCCTGTTCTGGGTCACCAGTGCCAGCACTGCCAGGAGTGCCCGGTGCCAGCTCTCACAGAAGAGCCACTGTGTCACAGCTGCCACACAGACCCGTCCTGCCTGATGAGATCTGCCACCTGAGACAAACACAGTTCAAGAAGAAAGGCTCTGCTGTTGCCTCCTCTCCGTGGGCTCAGTCTGCAGAGGTCTGGGGTCCCTGAGGCAGAGGAGTCCCTCCGGGCTGTCCCTACACGTCGGTCTCGATGCGCAGCCGCTCCATGCGCCGCACGTTGCCCTCGGCGGCCACGCGGCTCGTGATGGGCCGGGCACAGGCCTGGGGGAACCAGCCCCGCTCCCCGTCCCGCAAACGCTCCCCCCAGCACCAGCCTAGGAGAGAACAGAGTGGGTGACAGGGCCAGGAAAGGCCAGGGAACCTTGGGGAATCAGCCCCGCTCCCCGTCCCGCAAACGCTCCCCCCAGCACCAGCCTAGGAGAGAACAGAGTGGGTGACAGAGCCAGGAAGGGCTGCAGATCCTGGGGGAATCAGCTCTGCTCCCCATCCTGCAGCTGATCCCCCCAGCACCAGCCTAGGAGAGAACAGAGTGGGTGACAGAGCCAGGAAGGGCTGTGAATCCTGGGGGAATCAGCTCTGCTCCCTTGGAGGTTCTGGCTAGAGCTATCCAGGTGATGCCTCAGATTTTGGCTTTTCTATTTTTCAGATTCTGTGCCGCTTTAGTGTGTGGGTCTGGGCTTCATGTTAGGGGTTGGTGAGCTCTCTGCACAGAGCAGGAGTACAAAACAATTCCTGCTCCAGCTGGGGACCAAGGACAAATGATCCAAATCTCAGGCCCAGGAGCACAAACAACGTGGGCTGAAGAGAGAAAAACAAGAAGGATGGGACCTCATGGGCTAAAGCTGGAATTGGACAATTAACTCCAATACGCAAATGGACCAAAACTTACAAAACTGAGAGACCCTGTGACCAGTCATGCATTTTTGTGACCATTTTGAGTTCACCTGGGGTGTAGCCCTGGCTGGGCTCTTGTGCTGCCCAAGGTGGATCCATTGAAGCCTCCTAATAAATCCCTACTTTACTCTTTAGCTCCATCTAGTCTCTGTTCTAGGGCAGCCTTCACAAGGCACCACAGGGATGGCAGGGGAGGAGGTTTCTGGTTTACTGCCTGGTCTGGGGGGTGTTTTCTCTCATTTTTGAGACCTCTATTGCTGGGGCTAGTCTGCATACAGGAGTCACACCTAAGGAACACAACAGCTGCCCATGGCAGTGCCACCTCCCTCAGCCCCCCAGGAGCCACTGTCACCTGCTGGGACACAGCACCAGCCAGTGCCACGGGTCCCACCAGCAGCCAGGGCTTCCTGAAAGCTTCTGCAATTGCTAAAACCCACTCCCTGGCAATCACTGAAGGCTCCCCCTGCCCTGGCTCTGCTGAGGTCAGAGCCTGCCCCACACCCAGCCCCATGCTCCCTGGCACTCACCATCCTCTCCCCCCAGCACCAGGACAACATCTGCCTGCTGCAGGGACAGCTCATCCGCCTCCTTGGCCAGGTAGGCACGGGTGATCTCCACCTGGCTCAGGTCTGCAGGACAGGGGACAGCAGGGACAGTGAGCAGACACAGCCTCCTGCTCAGCTGTGACCCCCCAGCTGCCCACCCAGTGCTCCACAGCACAGCATGCTCCATCCTCTCCTGTCCCCGCCCCTAATCCCTCCAAGCTCGTCAAACCTCCTTTAACAACAGCTGAAGGCATTTCTGGAATTCCACTGTGCCTCCCAGGAAATGTATTTAAGGTCAATTGTGACTGATAACTTCATGGGAGGCAACTCCTAAGGAGCAAGGCATGGGGGCTTCCTCTCCATTGGCAGGAGTGGAGGAGAACCAGGTAGAAACCTGGCCCTGCAAATGCTCTGGTGTGACAGAGAATCCCAGCAGAGCCAGGCTGCCCTCTGGCACATGGTACCTCCTTTGGGAGTGGTGTCAGGCTTTTCCTTCTCCCTGTGCATCAGTGCTGCAATCCACCGGGCCCGGTCACTCCTGCCAGAGGGAAACACAAAGAGAGCCTCAGGACAGCATCCCTGTGGCCAGCAGCAGCTGGGACATTCCCAGCAGGATGAATGCTTTCCAGGGGAGTCACATTGATCAGACTATTCAGTGTAAGGACACTTCCCAAGTGGCACACATGGCCCAGCTGCTTTGCTTCACTTGGACAGAGGAAGTTGATATGGGAATTATATGGGAAATATAAGAGAGAGGAAGGAACAGAGCCTGGGAGAAGGCTGTGCACATTCCCATTTCTAGGAGGAGGAGTGTGGGGGTAAAGAGAGATCTGCAGAAGCCTCAGAGAATTCCCAGAGCACCAGTTCATCCCAAGGGCCAGAGCAAAATCCCAGTGTGGCACTCACAGTGTCTCTGCTGACAGCACCACCTCCTCCCGCCGGCCCTCGCTGTCCTTCTCCAGCACCACTCGGAGCAGGTGCCCACCAGCCTTGCCAGGAGGAGGGGAGGGTGGGTCTGAGCTCTCCACCTTCTCCACGGTGACCTGGTCCAGCGTGGCGTAGTTCATGACCGTGTAACTCTCCTCGCTGCAGCACAGATGGGATCAGCGCCTCAGCTGTGGGATCTGGGCCACTTCCCAGCTCCCAGCCCGGCACAGGAGGCTCAGCAGGCATTGCCAGAGCAGCCTGGAGCTGATGCTCAGAGTGGGACATGGCTCTGGGGACTTGCTGGCCACCCACCCACCGAGGCAAAGCCACCGGTGGGACTCTTCTGGCTGACAAGGGACAGCTCGCAAAGATGGAAATCTCACTGATTTCTTTGGTGTGCGCTGCTGGGGAAATTGGAGTTTAATCCCCCTAGCTGTTCTTCAGGGAAATGCAGGGCCCTCACCTCTTCTTCTTGGTGATGATGAGGACGTCGTTGAAGAGGAAGAGGTGGCAGAGGCGGCCGGCGCCGCGGCGGAAGATGCCGGCCTCCTCCGAGAGCAGCAGGTGCAGCTCCCCCCGCTTCAGCAGCCACCGGGACACCGAGATCAGGGGGAAAGGCTGCAACAGAGCCAGCAAAAGGCTCAGGCACTGCCCTCCTCACCAGCAGCAGGCAAAATCAAGGCAGGAAGTGAACCTGCAGTGGTCCTGGGGTCAGTTGGGATGGACACGCCACATGTGTTTAAGTCTTTTTTAAAAAGGATTTTCCAGGGGGCAGGCAGAAGGCAGGGCAGCTGTGCACCCCACTCCAGCACACCACAGATGCAGTCCCTGCACCCCAACAGTGGCTTTACTACACCCTTTAGAAACTGCCTGCATCCAACAGTCCAGTCCAAGCTTCCCAGAAGGATTCCCAGCACAGGTCTGACCTGCCTAAACAGGCCCCAGAAGAACTCCCACCACCACTTCCACAAGACCTCACCTTCTTCTTCCCGAATTCCAGCTGTTTCTGCAAGGTGTACATCTGCTCTGTCCTCTCCATAGCCCGAGCTCCCTCATTGCAGCTCTTGACCAGCTGGGAAGAGAAAAACATCCCAAGGGAAATGGAGAAGGGTCAGAAGCTGAGCCCATCCACCTCCCACACCACCCCAGTATTAGGGACTGTCCTGCTGCCCTGAGCAGGAGAGACAGACAATTCCCGGCACAGGCTTCATGCCAGGTTGGGAAAAGGCAGTGGGATGCTCTGCTGGAGAGAGATGGCACATGGGCTCTGCCTGGAGAAGGACTCAAGTGAACCTGCACCAGAACTGAGGAGCAACAGGAGGAGGAAGAATTAATCATCTGAGAAGAGCTCAAGGCAGGAGGATGGACAGTCACACAGAGGGGAGGACTCTGCTCGGATGTGA